TTAATGCGCCTGAAAGCCCAGCTTACTGCAATTACCACTAACGGCCCGCGGCGAACACCAAACCGTCGCCGTACTTCCTCCGTTTCCCACACCCGCCGTCCACAATCTCCAAGTAGCGTCTGCTGGTATCACCAACAATTTGAAGGAGCAGCTCGACGATGTCTTCAGCCATGCTCTTTCAAGGCATCTCTAACGGCCTCAGGGAGACGATCCCACCCGACAGTAGAGTCCACTGCTGCTGGAAGCGTTGCCAATCTCCACACTCGCCGTTTGTTCCTCTGGGACCGTATCGCTGGCGCCAAATTCCTTGTCGACTCTGGTGCCGAGGTTAGCGTGGTTCCACCAACTCCGGCCGAACGTAAAACCCGCAGCTCTTTTTGTCTAACAGCTGCCAACAACTCCAGCATCTCCACATTTGGACAGCGTTCCATCACACTTGATTTGGGCCTTCGTCGAATTTTCCGATGGGTTTTCATTATTGCCGACGTCTCCGTCGCTCTCATAGGCGCCGATTTCCTAGCTCACTTCAATCTACTGGTTGATTTGAAGAATCGCCGACTCGTCGACTGCATCACCGACCTTCATGCCCGTTTTCAATCCGATGTGAACCCCTGCGTCAACCCTCTCACTGTTATGCCCATCTCTGACTGTCCTTTCCACTCACTCCTCAGGCAGTTTCCCCGCCTGACCAACCCGTCATTTCGTGAAGTGGACATCAAACACACAGTCACTCACCACATTTCCACTACCGGACCTCCCAAGTCTTGCCGACCACGTCGTCTTGCTCCGGACCGTTTGAAGATTGCCAAGGCAGAGTTCGAACACATGCTCGAGCTCGGCATCATCCGACAGTCCGACAGCTGCTGGGCATCACCCCTCCACCTTGTCCCCAAGGAGAATGGCGACTGGCGACCGTGTGGTGACTATCGGGCGTTGAACTCTGTGACTGTCCCCGATCAGTATCCCGTCCCGCACATCCAAGATTTCACTCTTTCGCTACATGGTAAGCGAATATTCTCTAAGATCGACCTTGTGCGTGCCTACCACCAAATCCCGTTCGAGGCCAGTGATGTTCCGAAGACCGCAGTGACCACTCCGTTTGGGTTATTCGAATTTACTCGTATGCCCTTTGGTCTGAGGAACGCCACTCAAACCTTTCGGCGATTCATTGATCAGGTTCTGCGAGGTCTCGACTTCGTCTACACCTACATTGATGATTTGCTAGTGGCTAGTTCTGACGCTGCTGAACACGAGATTCATCTTCGACAGCTCTTCGAACGGCTCGACTCCTACGGCGTTATCATCAATGCCGCCAAATGTGAGTTTGGAGTCCCCAGTCTTATCTTTCTTGGTCACGAAGTGAACTCAGATGGGATAAAGCCCGTCCCAGAAAAGGTTTCGGCCATATCAACGTTCCCCGTCCTGACAACCATCAACCAACTACGCCGATTCTTGGGGATGGTGAACTACTATCGCCGTTTTCTTCCCCATGGTGCCACCATACTGCAGCCTCTCAACAGCCAGTTGACCCACTCCAAGAAGACGCTAGTGATGACCAAAGAGGCCGTCAGGTCCTTCAATGACGTCAAGGCTGCACTTGCGAGCGCAACACTGCTTGCTCACCCCCGCTCAGATGCCCAGCTAACTCTCATGACAGATGCTTCCAGCATTGCAGTTGGTGCATCACTGCAGCAAACTGTTAGTGGTGTTCTACAGCCTCTGGCTTTCTTCTCGAAGAAGCTCAGCCCAGCAGAGACCCGCTACAGTGTCTTCGGCCGCGAACTCCTTGCCGTCTATCTATCCATCCGGCACTTCCGTCGTTTCCTCGAGGGTCGTGAATTTGTTGTTCTAACAGATCACAAGCCACTTGTTTTTGCACTGAGGGCCTCTCCCGATCGATACTCGCCCCGTGAAATCCGTCATCTTGACTTCATCTCACAGTTTTCCTGCGACATCCAACATGTCCACGGTAAGGAAAATGTGGTTGCTGATGCTCTTTCAAGAATCGAGATGGCTTCCATCACAACAGACGCCATAGACTTCACGCTCATGGCTGAGGCTCAACGATCGGATGACGAACTTCCCCAATACCGCCACGAGAACTCTTCTTTACGCCTTCAAGATGTCCCCCTTCCCACTGGCACAGGCACCATCACGTGTGACCTTTCTACCGGACACGAACGTCCTTTTGTCCCTGCAACTTTACGACGACACGTGTTCAACGCTCTTCACAATCTATCCCACCCTGGAGTCCGGGCGACAGTGAAACTCATCACTGACCGATTCGTCTGGCCCAACATCAACCGGGATGTACGGCGTTGGACCCGCTCCTGTCTACCATGTCAACGAGCCAAAACGCATCGGCATACCATTACTCCGCCAGGAACTTTCGCCACCCCTGATGCACGCTTCAGTCATGCGCATATTGACCTGGTAGGTCCGCTGCCACCATCTAACGGTTCTACCTATATGCTGACATGTATTGATCGCTTTACTCGGTGGCCGGTTGCTGCGCCCATTCCGGACATCAGTGCTGAAACCGTTGCGAAAGCTTTCTTGACTCATTGGGTGTCCAATTTTGGAGTTCCTGCGACTGTCACCACTGACCGCGGATCCCAATTCGAGTCCACGCTGTTTCGCGAACTCACTTCCCTTCTCGGTACCAACCGAATCCGAACAA